TTTAACATTGAAAGAAATGTTGTGATGTTGTTGGGGGGAAAGGGGTAGGGGGCTCTGGTGTGATGGGTGAGCTTCTGATGTGAAAGGGGTGGAGGGCAACTCTGATTAAAGGGATGTTATGATATGACAGGGGACTGATTAAAGAGGGGTTATGATGGGGGAGCTTCTGATGTGAAAGGGAGGACTCTGATTAAAGAGGGGTTATGATGTGAAGGGGGAGCTTCTGATACAAAAAGAGGACTCTGAAGGCGGGACTCTGATATTGAAAGGGGGCTCTTTTTTGGGGGGGGTGGGGAGGGGGATTATGTTATGGGGGAGCTTCTGATGTGATGGTTGGCTTCTAATGTTAAAAGGAGACTCTGATTGAAGGAGTGACTTTGATATTGAAGGGGAGCTCTGATCTTGTGGGGGAATGCTGATTTATGGGGGTTATGATGTGAAGCGGTCTTCAGTTGTGATGGGGAACTTCTGATGTTTAAGGGGGGACTCTGACAGGGGGATATGTCTGATGTGATGGAAGAGATTTTGATGTGAAAGAGGGGACTTCTGATATGAAGATTTTTCTTGGAAGTGTTTTTATTAGTTCATTTACATTGGAACCATTCAATTATAAAATTGATTTATTTAAAAAAACATTTTTTGTGTGTTTTTGTTTTTTTTGTTTTTGTTTTTTTTTTTTGTTTTTGTTTTCGTTTTCATACTGTGAATATTTGTAAAATATACAATGTGTGTCATACTGGAAAAATGGAAGACTGGTGATCTAAGATCCCAAAACGTTTCTTTACTCCTCTGAAACACTGACCTTACAGTGCTGGCACACGTCCAGCAGATGGCACTATTGATATATTTTGCTGTGCTTGTCACTTAGTACCATTCATCCTTCCATTCACTATGGCTCTAGCAGTGAGATACCATTTACATCTGACTGTTGAATGCACAGCAGGGTTTTATTCACCCCCAGGGGGTTGTTAAGGCTTTAGTGTCTGAATCTCATTGTTCTGTAAATATGATTTCTAAAGTGAATGTAATTTACATTAGCAGGCAGGACAGAGTGCTAGTATTCTTGTGCAGGCCATAGACGGGGAGAAAACCGGCTGAAAATTCATCCAAAAGAATAATTGGCCGATTTTTGGATCGTTAGTGGCTGAATTGGTCAGCCGGTTTTCTTGATTTTTGACCCTTTTTTTTTAATCGGTAATGTTGAAAAAAAAAAGCCGATTTTGCTCATCGGCCGATTTTCACAGCAATGATGGGCAAATCGGCCAATCTTTTTACCAATTAAAAAAAATGCGCATGGGTCGTGACCAAAGAAAGAACAAATCCATTTCGATACATGTTTCTATGTTGCTATACTTTTAAATGTCAAATATAATAGCGGAGCTCTCTGCAGAGACACTGCTATTATGTTTGCTGGCCGTAGACGGGACGAAAATCAGCCGATTTATTATTATTATTTTTTTTTTTTTTTTTTTAACCAATGGATGGTAACGTTTGTCGATTGAACGACCGATTTTTTTTTTTTCGTTTTTTTTTTTTTTAAAAAAACTGGCCGGTTTTCTCCCCGTCTATGACCTGCATTACACTCGGCCTGTCCACCATTAAGTCCCTGTTCAGCGACTGTGTCTGTGCATTGGCTGTGTCCCAGTTTACGTTAATGGGACCTCCTGCCCAGGATTGCATGGAACACCTAACACCTGTACATCCCCGGGCAGGTAAGCACAGCCCTATCCCCAGAGCAAGCACCCTGGCATTCCTGTTGTTACTCTAGGTAAGCCTTCTATGTTCCTCTGAGCTGGTTTTCACATTGGACCTCCTTGACAAGTTAAAGGGCAGCACAGTGGCTAAGTGGTTAGTACTTCCACCTGGCAGTACTCGGGTCGTTGGTTCAAATCGCAGCCACAGCACCTCCTGCCTAGAGTTTGCATGTTCTCCCTGTGCCTGCTTGGGTTTCCTCCGGGTACTCCGGTTTCCTCCCACACTCCAAAGACATGTTGGTAGGTTAATTGGATCCTGTCTAAATTGGCCCTAGTATGTGTATGTATGAATGTGAGTTAGGGACCTTAGATTGTACACTCCTTGAGGGTTAGGGACTGATGTGAATGTGCAATATATATGTAAAGTGCTGCGTAAATTGACAGTGCTATATAAGTACCTGAAATAAATAAAATACACTCCAGGAATTGTCTGTATTGTGGAGTTACATTGGTCCAGCTTGGCACGCTGCAAGTACGCATATCTCCTACCTGAAGCTGATATTCTCTGTAGTAGTCCGCACCTTTACAGTGATAGCTATCTTCCGGTTCTATGCAGGCAGCTTCCCCTCTGCGCACTGAACACAGGATGTCACTCGCTTGGTCCCGCTGCCATTGATAGAACACCTTGTATCATTTACAATGAATACAAGGTATACTCTGATTGGATGAGGCGGCGAGGCGAAGCAGTGATGTCACAGTCTCCCCCTTGTTCAGTAAGAGAATTCCTTTTATTCATTGAAATAAATACAAGGTGTTCTGTGAATGGCGGCTGAGCTGAGCTCCCTGTGTTCAATGTACAGAGGGGAAGCTGCTCACACAGGTCCTGGAAATTCACATCTGTCCCGTAGCAGCACTGACTACTACAGTAATTTGTCCGCTTCCTCAGTTGCCCATTGCTGCCCCTGGAACCTCAAATGTCACTTTGCCAGTTTTTCCTCTGAAACCTGACATATATATCTAATCGTTGTGGCAATCCTTCCCTTTTTTTTATTTTTATTTTTTTTTTTGTTTAATAATCAATTTTATTAACATTTTTAGATTATACAAAATTTCACCAAATACGTTCACAGTGACCAGGCAAACAAAAAAAAAAATAGTACTAGAGGATGTACAGCAGCAGATAAAAACATAAATGTTGATTTGTAAGCCGGGTACCGATGCCACCCAAGAATGCAATCACTCTATAAAAAAAAAAAAAAAAAAAAGCGAGAGAGACAGGGGAAATAAGGCAGAGTAAGGCTGGCCATACATTATACAATTATCTGCAGATTTTTGGTTTAGATTTACCAAAAACCATATAATAGGAGGACAAACCTAAACAACACTTTCAGTTGTATCCAATTAGGCAGCCCTTGCACTACATAGTTGAAGGTAAATCTAAAGGAAATTGGGCAGAAAATCTGCAGACAATTGTATAATGTATGGCCAGCCTAAGGGAAAAAAAAAAAACACCACAAAAATCCCTGTCCAAGGAACATTGAACAACACCCAGGTGGGTAGAAACAACAACATAGGGGTGTGCAATGTATCAAATCTACAGAAAAATAATCCAGTATCTGCTATGTCAGTGGAATAGTACATCCATCCCTGCCATATGTTGCTTCCTAACCATGTGCACCCATTGGTCATCTTCCACAATTGCATCTTCTTCCCTCTTCCAATCAGAAAGTGTTGGGCAAGCAGATTGTTTCCAAAATCTAGGAATCAAGGATTTACCCGCGTTCATTAGATGAGGTCACGAAAGAGGAAGCAAAGGGTGGGGGGGGGGGATCTCTGCAATCCTTCCCATTTAATAGAGTGCAGCAACGGCCCTGAAGTAGGGACAGTCTTTTCTCCGAAACCCGTTGGCCTGATGTTTTTGTACTCCTTTCCTATAATTCCAATGGCTCATTAGGAAGGAGATATGCATACTTGTATTGTGCCAAGCTGGACCAATGTGACTATGCAATACAGATCATTTCTGCAGTTCAGCTTTACTTTGGGGGGGGATGGGGGAACAGATTCCTTCTTCGTGGCTCTAAGGGGGTCTCTCCATAGTTATTTACAATGCAACAGCAGGCTGCAGCTTGTTTTTTTTAATAATAATTTTAGTACTATGATCCTTTGAATGAACTATCTGCAGTACTAGACTTCGCCACCAGGTGAATGAGATGTTGCAACTTTTATGCAGTGCTTTACTTACTGTATATTTGTATCAGTTATGATTTCGTTTTTCACCTTTTTTATATAGTTTTGACATTTTATGCAGTGCTTTACTTACTATACATTGCATCGGTTATGATTTTGTTTTTACTTGTGTTTATGTAAAGCATTGCATAAAATGTCAAAACTATATAAAAAAGGTGAAAAACGAAATCATAACTGATACAATAGTACAGTATGTAAAGCACTGCATAAAATGTCAGTTATATGTTTTACATGTGTTTTATGCAATGCTTTACATACTGTATATTTGTTTAAGTTATTATTTTGTTTTCACGTGTTTTTTTTTGACATTTTATGCAATGCTTTACATAAACACAAGTAAAAACAAAATCCTCACTGATGCAATATACAGTATAGCCGCCAAAAAGATTGGGATCCAATTCCTCTTCCGTTCGTTGGATTGGATGAAAATGGACAGGCGGTCCGTTTTCATCCGACTGCCCATTGAGGAGAGCGAGCAGCTCTGTCTACTCTGCAGCAGTGGAGCAGACACAGAGCAGTCATCCGCTTGAGAGATCCCCCCCGCTGAGCAAGCGGATCCGCTAAACAGGTCCACAACGTGTGAAAGGACCCTTATGCTTTCCTAAGCTCCAGGTATGTCCGCGAGAGCCTTGGTTCTCTGGGGACACTCACTCCTGATTGGCTGAGGCAGCAGCAAGAGCCAGTGAGCCAGTCAGGAGGGGGCGGGGCTCGACCTGCGGCTCTGTGTGTGAATGAACATGCAGAACTCCCGGCTCAGGAGCACGCCTGCTCTGGTGCCCCCATAGCAAGGTTCTTGGTATGGGGGTACCCGATAGGAGGGAGGGGCCAGGAATGCAGGCGGGGGACTCAAGAGGAGGTTCCATGCTGCTCTGTGCAAAACCACTGCATGGAACAGGTAAGTATGACATGTTTGTTATTTTAAAACAAAAAAACAAGACGTTAGTATCACTTTAAGGTGGTGTGCATGGTCCTTGCTAAGGAACATTTATTTCTTATCAAGTTGTTATGGGTAAAGTTCCACTTTGAGATCATAATCCCCTTCTTCTATTCCCTTCATAGCTTGCTGAGACGCCTTGTCACCCTGATATCCAAGCAAGCCACCATCATTGCATCCAACGAGGCCTTCAAGAAACAGGCTGAGAGTGCAAGCGATGCCGCCAAAAAATTCATGGATGAGAATGACAAAGAAGAAGGTATCAGATATTGGCATGCAGGAAATGATTGTTGGCTAGGTTTATATTGTCCCCATTGAGAAGATTCCCCTCATTCCCGTCAGGAAAGCACTTTTCTTCAGTAAATTAGGGAAGGGTTAGAAGCTCTGCCAGGTCATTGTTACTGCCTGAGTCTTCCTGTTGTAGTGACAGCTCCTCTCCTTGCTTGTCCTTCTGTATGTTACTGCAGTATTAGACTTCACCAGTAGGTGCTACTCCAAGTGAATTCATTCATTCTATCCCTTGGAGGTTTCATTTCAAAGCTTCCTATGCTAAATCCTCCCTCCAGCCTTCCCTGTAGTCTTGCTCAGGTGTCCCAGCTCCTCTCCTGGACTGAAATGGCTTACTCTGATTTCACTGCACACTGTGAGCCTCTCATAATGTGCAGTTGAAGCTGCAGCGAGCGTGATTCTGCCTCATTTCCTGGCTGGGTGACCTCCAGCATCATCTAGAACTTTCTTCCCTGGCCCATTCCTTTCATTCATTGGATTTCAGTTCTTTTTGATCATCTCCCGGTTCAGCTTGCCTAGGAATGCCCTCTCCTCCAGACTGACCTCCATCCTTTAAGGAATCATGATATTTGCATAGCTCCTCCCAAGAGCCAGCCCATTGCTTGCATCAGGGCGGAGGAATCTTGAAAGGAGTAGTAAGTGATGTCATCATGTAACCATGTACAGCACCCTGCCGGCCCCTCCTACTAGCCATAAGTTGCCTGCATTGCATTCAGACGCACAGAGAGCCAGTAGTGTTAGTGGGTCTAATGTAAGGTGTGTAATGAAAACAGGATTTATTTTGTATGTCATTAACATGTCAATGGGGTAGAAAGGAGGAACCAGGGAAGGCAAAATATAAGGCTTTGGGTTACCCTGGACTATCAGCCATCTGTAAGAACTGGCATGTTAAAGGTCAGTTGGGATGTTAGTCACTGTGCAGGCTGGGACCAGCAGTTTTACAGCTGAGCATCTCTCTTGGTGTCTAACATACCTTTTCTGGCAAGTGACACTGAGACTAGGGGCTGAAAATGAAGGTGACAATAGTATTGCCATCACTGACTTGAAAAGTGGCATTTATAGGAAATTCGGAGCTCCCTAGATTTCTGGTAGGGTCACCGGGTATACTTCTGTACTTGCAGCATCTTTAAATGGGATTGATGGGAAAAGTTCTGTGTATTTAAGAGATGTGCAATACGGACCTCCAGTCCAAACTGATCACTGTCATTGCTTTTCATGCGCAGCAACTAAAGGCCGCAGGGTTAGAGGTCTGCGATGTGTCGGAGAGCAACGCTGAGGAGGATAATAAACTACTTAAAGGAGAAGTCAAGAAGCTCAAAGATGAACTGCAATCCACCAAGAAATGTAAGTGACACCAGAAAATGAATCGCCTCACCTCTTCAGCTCCAGCGTCGTACCAGTGTCTCGCTGGAGTTTTGACCAGTATACTGGGCTGCCTGCAGCTGCAGGCATCATCTTGGTACCTTTTTTTTAAAGAGACAGCAGTCGGCTCTATTGTTGGGGAAATTGAAGCAGCTAACTAGCCTCTTATAAAAAATCAGAGCGCTCGTGGCAAATGTCCAGAATAAAAAACCATAATGTTCATGACCAGCAGACAATATAAATCAGTTTAATGGAGCAATAAAATCAAGAATTGCCATAAGGATGTATCCATGAATGGATGTCATACAGGGATCGGTGCAAACAATAGACTGAAGGGATGATGGGAGCGGCTTGCTGTTTAGTAGACATAGCAATGGAGAGCCTGGATGGTGAGCTCTGTAGATGGAAGGTGAGAGAGCCACAATAGATGGTGTACAGGTGTCCAAGGCCAGCGGTCTAAAGGAAACCCCACAGGAGGGATGAAAGGAGCAGGATGGACCTCCTCGGTTGCCGGAGATCGCTCACCGAAAGATGTCATGGCGCACTGGCAGTGACCTCAGTGGAACACAAGGAAGCCAGGAACAGCCATCGAAAATCAGTAGGAAAAAATCCTCAGTAGGAAGGAGACCAATCGCAACAAGTCCTGGTTACGATGACGCGTTTCACACAGTATAGTGCTTTAACGCATTAGCGCCTAGTCGTTTGTTTTTAACCGGGGCTTGTTGCGATTGGTCTCCTTCCTACTGAGGATTTTCAATGGTTGTTCCTGGCTTCCTTGTATTCCACTGAGATCACTTCCGGTGCGCCATGACGTCACTTCCACTGTGTGATCTCCAGCAGTTAAGATGCTATTACAAGCAGTGGCAGGGGACGTCCCACCCTCCCTCTCCTGGTGCCTTCAACAGCTTTACTGGGACCCCCCTTCCATCTGGAGTCCCGATCAACCATCCAGCGCTTTTGCTGGCTGATCACAGAGCCGAACAAAGACCAAATTGGCTTTGTTCAAGTCTGATGTACTAACCAGGAAGTGATGTCCTTACATCACTTCTGGTGTACGGTGTGATTAAATGCTTTTAAGGGCAGAGGAGATATTTGGGGTCTCATTGACCCCAGATCTCTCCATAAAGAGTGGCTGTCATATGCCTATTTCTGTCACAAGGGATATTTACATTTCTTTTGACAGTAATAGAAAATTAAGTGAAAGTATAATAATAAAAAAAATTAAAGTGCCCCCATGCTTGTGTGCGAAGGTGAACGCACGCATTGGTCTCGCACGCACGCAGACAATGATCGTCCCACACATGTGAGATATCGCCGCAAACGTCAGATTACGGGCAGGAATTCTAGCACCAGACGACCTCTGTAAATCTCTTTTAAAGCCTCGCCTATGGGTAGTAAAATTTATGTTGCGCAACAGGTTTGGTATCTATTTACTCGCCGCAACATCATCTTTTACGTTTTACAAAAAAATCGGGTAATGTTTTGTGTGTTACAAGACCAATATATAGCGCTAATTCACCCTACACATACACAAAGTATAATATGACAAAAAAAATCAAGTCCTCAAAGTCCACGAGATGTGACTAATTTGTATAAAGCCCATGTCCTTAGGAAGACACTGTGCCACCAAAGAGAAGAAAAAGGATCCTCCACCGTCGCCACTCGCAGGCTCTTACCAGAGAATATGATGACAGGTCATGCAGTCAAAAACAGCAAATATGGGGAATCAATGGAGGTAATGGATCCATAATAAATCTTCTCCACCAGAGATAATTCCACAGCTAGCAACTTGATGGCCTAGATCCAGTATTATAGCACAGAGATAATCAAACAGACCCAATAAGATGTATGTAAAGAGAACAAAAACTCATAGTATTTATAATTTATTCTCTCGATCCTCTGCTTTAAAAAATATATAATGTTTTTGGGGGGGTTCTAAGAAATTTTCAAGCAAGAAATACCGAGTGTAAACAAAGTGCCAGAAAAGGTCTGGTCTTCGGGTGGATAAAGTCATGTTCATTCTCCAGATTAAAGTCCAATCAATATGTAACCAATAATAATTGCCCTTGTCCTGTCCTAGTGATCATAATAAATGTTGTTCCTGGTGACAAGGAAGGCCTGCTGATTGCAGCAGACCTGAGATCATGCCACATGGCCCTGCCAGGGAAGGTCACTTTGCTCTGGGAGGTTATAAATGTCACACACTAAAAACAGAAGGTTTATGTTGTGGGAGAGTTTGGTTTCCATAACATAACCATTTATGAACCGGAGGCTGTCAGTTACTTTTTTTTTTTTTTTAAACCGCAAAACCGTGATGAATGGCGAGGATTGTATTTCAGACATCCCTAGTTTGGGGATAGATATTGACAAAAAAAAGAATTATTCTTCAAGGGACTTTTGGTAATTAGAAACTTTATCATCTGTGGCATGTAGGGTACCAGTCTGATTGTTGAAAAAAATTAAACCTCCCTGAAAGAAAACCCTTATTGGGTGACCAGACTGCTGTGGTAGAAGATAGTCCGGTCACTGAAGCAATAGCAGTAAATGCTGTGTTTGGACAGTACATTTCAGGCCATTTTTTGCTATACCGCACTGCGCTGCTATAACTGCTAACTGCGCTGTCATGCAACGCTGTACCCAAACACAATTTAAATCCTGTTTTTCCACACAAATAGAGCCGCCTTTTGGTGGTATTTCATCACCACTGGGTTTATTTTTTGAAATTTAAATGAAAAAAGACGGAAAATATTGGGAGGGGAAACTATTTACTTTCTGCTATAAAACCTATATCCAAAAAAAAAATCTAATTTCTTTATAAAATTTGTCAAATGTATTCTGCTACAAGTCTTTGATTAAAATAAATCCCAATAAGTGTAATTTGGTTGGTTTGGATGAAAGTTATAGCGTTTACAAACTATGGTATATATACTGGAATTTTTTTTAATACTAATAATGGCTGTGATCAATGACTTATAATGGGACCTTGATAGTTCTGCGGGCAATCTGCCACTAACTGACTCGTGGGGCGGGGACCTAACTAACTGCCACTGACATCACCAGTGACATTCAGTGATAATATTATGCATGGTCACTGTACTAATGACACTGGCTGGGAAAGGGTTAACATCTGGTCAGCGCAGTGGCTAAATGGTTAGCACTTCTGCCTGGCAGTACTAGGGTCGCTGGTTCGAATCCCAACCACGGCACCTCCTGCCTGGAGTTTGCATGTTCTCCCTGTGCCTGCGTGTTTCCTCCAGGTACTTCAGTTTCCTCCCACACTCCAAAGACATGCTGGTAGGTGAATTGATTCCTGTCCAAATTGGCCCTAGTATGTATGAATGTAGGTTAAGGACCTTAGATTGTACGCCCCTTGAGGGTTAGGGACTGATGTGATTGTACAATATATATATGTAAAGCGCTTCATAAATTGACAGCAATATATAAGTACCTGAAATAAATAAACATCTAGGGGTGATCAAGGGGTTAAATGTGTGCTTGGGTATGTGTAAAGTGTGCTGCTTTTACTAATCGATCTCTAGATTTCTCATTCTTCCTTTGCAGGGATGAGAAACACAGAGATCATCCCCTCTGTACAGAGCTCTGTGTTGAATGTCAACACAGAGCTCTGGGCTTCGATTTTACACAGCCAATCAGCAGGTCCAGGCTGTAATCATTGTCTGGGACTTGCTGGCAGGCTCCCGCTGTGTCGATTGGGGGGAGGGGGGTGCGCACATGTGCGCATCTGAAACCTGGTGTAGGCAGCAGTGTACAGCTATCGATTTTTGTTTGATTAATGTCCTGTCCATTTGACCTTCAGCCTGGCAGAGCCATATTTTGGTCATCAGTTTGCACAGAGAGCGCACATTGTCCTGCCTGTAATTTTGGACTTGTCAGAGCTGAGTTATGGGTTCCCCTCCGTTCCCAGAAAGTCCATTACCTGCAGGGCTAATTCTTGCATTGAAATCTATTTCACTGTGTACCTTTTTTCAATGTCGGCGTGATCTTCACAGTGTATATAGATTGGTTTGGATGAAAGTTATATTGTCTACAAACTATGGTGTTTATATATACTGGAATTTATTTTAATACCAATGGCTGTGATCAATGACTAATGGGACTGTGATAGTGCTGCAGGCAATCTGACACTAACTGACTCTGAGGGGGGGGGGACCTAACTTACTAACTGCTACTGACATCACCAGTGACATTAATTCAGTGATAATATTATGCAGTCACTGTACTAATGACACTGGCTGGGAAAGGGTTAACATCTAGGGTGATGAAGGGGTTAAATGTGTGCTTGACTGTGTGTAAAGTGTGCTGCTTTTACTAATCGATCTATAGATTTCTCATCCGTCCTTTGCAGGGATGAGAAATGCAGAGATCATCCCCTCTGTACAGAGCTCTGTGTTGAATGTCAACACAGAGCTCTGGGCTTCGATTTTACATGGCCAATTAGCAGGTCCCAGCTGTAAATCCTTGTCCAGGACTTGCTGACAGGCTCCCGCTGTGCCGGTTGGGGGGGGGGGGGGGGGGGTTGCGGCGCACATGCATGCACCTGAAACCTGGTGTAGGCATCAATGACCCTATCGATGGTCATTTTTGTTTGAGTAATGTCCTGTCCATTCAACCTTCAGCCTGGCAGAGCCATATTTTGGTCGTCATCAGTTTGCACAGAGAGCGCACATTGTCCTGCCTGTAATTTTGGACTTGTCAGAGCTGAGTTATGGGTTCCCCTCAGTTCCCGGAAAGTCCATCACCTGCAGGCCTAGTTCTTACAGTGAAATCTATTTCACTGTGTACCTTTTTATCAATGTTGGCGCGATCATCAGTCAAGGGCATGCCGCGTCTGCATCTGGCAGTACCTTGCTCTTTTTAATTGAATAGATATTGATGGGTTCACAGCCGTCTCATCATCAGATGGTACAGTTTGCAGACTTCTAGAGCTAAAGTCAATGGAGCACTGAGCCTAAAATGTTGTGTGCTGGGAGGGACAGTGCCGCCGCATCGATCCCGACACACCGTGTCATTTTTTTGTCATTTCATTCAGATATATTGACTTCAGCTGTGTTATGATGCAGAGATTTGCATCACTAGTGAATAGTGTACTACCAGGATTGGCAATTCAATCACTAAGTGCAGGACCTGGCCCATTGCAGCCATTAGTCACCTTGAGGCAAAAGATTCTTAGGCTCTAGTTCGGCATCCTGTTTATAATACAGAATGTCCTGATCGTTGGTAAGTCCATCCAGCACTTTACTCGCTGGGGTATACTCAAGCCTTCCCTTAGTTGTAGTAGTAGTAGAAGGGTGGGTGCAAAAACATGGAGGTGATGAAACGATGAGCATTCCCAAGAGGGAAAACACAACCTATTGGGTCAAAGAAAAAATGTGTATGTAGTGTGGCACTGTGAAGAAAGTAAATAATATATCAAAAACCAATTAAGTGTAGCAAAAATGGATGTATCAGCAAACACCCTTTATTATTATTATAGGTACTTGTATAGCGCCGTCAGTTTACACAGCGCTTTACATATATATTGTACATTCTATTATTTTAATTCATTTATTCATTATATTATAATATATGTGTGTATATATGTGTATGTATGTAAAGTGCTGCGTAAATTAACGGCGCTATATAAGTACCTGTAATGAATGAATATATAAGATTTTTTAGATATTTTTCACCTTGAATGTGTTTGTCAGTCGGGTGTTCATTTGTTTGTTTGTTTTTTTATGCACGTAGATTATGGACTTTACTAATAGCGCGGTATTTCTTTTGAACAGTACTACTTATGTTCAATTATTTGATTTGATTTTGCACTCTTTGTCGTATATGGGCTTGATGGCTTGGTGTTTGATATATTATTTACTTTCTTTTTTTGGTCTTTTGCTATTTATGCACTTATTAGCAGTGCCACACTACACACAATTTTTTCTTTATCACTTTTATATGGGAACACATTTTGGTGTAGGCAGCAGCTTCTCTCTGTAAAGGTATTTTGGCAGCTCATGAGTCTCGCCTTGCTTCTCAGTATACTTTGTAACACCCTATTGGGTGCTTCAGTCTTACAGTAAATCCAGGGATTTGTCATTCCTCTGCAGTACAATGCATTGTCACATGGAAAGTCCAGCTCGTGGCACGTATCTTCTGAACTTCTCCCTGGAGAAGATACAGATTCACAGTATTCAGGGAGAGGGTTAAGTGAGAGATATGAAAATTGGAATGACTTTGGTACAAAACACCATAACAAAGGCTTTGTTTTGTAAAGATGAGCTGAGCTTTTAACCTTAGAGAATGAGTTTACAGGTCTGATAAAACAAGTGAAGACATCATTCAGAATGACTTTTCTTAATAATTTTTCAGCACTGCACAAGTCTGAGAATGAAGTGATCGCCATCAAGAAGCAGAGTGAGGGCTTAACAAAGGAATACGACCGGCTGCTGGATGAATATTCTAAATTACAGGTGAGCGTTAGTGTCCGGATAGTCTGTATTGTATATTTACAAAGAATAGCCAATCAGGTGCAAAGAAAATTAAAAAAAAACCAGCATATTTGCTTACACATGATTGGAAGTCCCCCTCATTTACTAAGCTCTGGAGCAGCTGCACTCGCCAAGTACGCAGTCTGTTTGTGTTTAGTAAATCAACCCAACTGCCTGTAGAATTAAAACAAGTTAAAATGTAAGTTCACCTTTTTTTTCCCCAAATAATGAAAAGGTGAATTAACCCCCGCACCTATCTCTGCTGCTCTTTCCATGGGTGAATAGCTGTCACTGCCTGTGCAGCCATGGATTTGAACGCCCCACTCTTCTTCCCATTCTTTTCTTTAGGGAATTCAGGACAAATCAGGGAATTCTAATTGGTCACGTGCTGGCACATTTTGACCAGTTGAAATCGCTCTGATCAGTCCCAGAAGCCCTAAGGAAAGAGGAGCGGGGCTTTCAAATCCCCAGACCGCTGCATGGGCATTGACATCCAATCACCCAAGAAGATAAGTTGCAGCAGGGACAGGGATGGTGTTGGTGGTCATTTCACCTTTTTCTTTGTTTAAAGCAGGGGTAGGCAACCTTAACGGGGTGGAGATCTACCTGAACAACATTATTATACAGGATTTATATAGCGGCAACAGTTTGCGCAGCGCTTTACAATATAAGGGAGACAGTACAATTACAATACATTTCAGTACAGACGGAATAGGAGGGCCCTGCTCGTGGATCTTACAATCTAAAGGAAGGGGGAGATGATACAGAAGGTGATAGCTGTGGGGGATGATCTGGCGGAGGTGATTCAAGTACAGTTCTTAGGTGGAGGTGGGGTAGGCATCCCTGAAGAAGTGCGTTTTCAAAGATCGCCTAAAGGCAGACAGGGTGGGGGCTGACTGGACATACTGTGGTAGGGAGTTCCAGAGGATGGGGGAGGCTCTGGAGAAGTCCTGGAGGCGAGCGTGGGAGGAGGTGATGAGGGAGCTAGAGAGGAGGATATCATGGGAGGAGCGGAGTGGGCGATTTGGGCGGTATCTGTGGATGAGGTCGGTGATGTAGCTAGGGGCAGTGTTGTGGATGGCGTTGTATGTTGTGGTTAGTATTTTGAATTTTATATGTTGGGTTAGTGGAAGCCAGTGGAGGGATTGGCAGAGAGGGGCAGCAATCGCTGATTGGTTGGTAAGGTGTATGAGTCTATCAGCAGCATTCATAATAGACTGAAGAGGGGATAGCCTGTGTAATGGTAGACCAGTGAGGAGGGAGTTGCAGTAATCGAGGCGGGATATAACCAAGGCGTGGATAAGTTGCTTTGTGGTGTCAGTGGTCAGGAAGGGGCGGATTTTGGAAATGTTCCAGAGGTTGAGGCGGCAGGATTTAGCCAGTGAGTGGATGTGGGGCCCAAAGGCGACGTCAGAGTCTAGGATTACGCCTAGCACCCTGGCATGAGGGGAAGGACCAATGGTTGTGCTGTTCATCTTAATGGTAAAGTCGTGAGTGGGGGATCGGGGAGGAGTCAAAGATCACTGGGCACAGTGTTACCTCCTCACACCTGATTTTAACCTCTAATTGCAGTACTACCTTGTCACAATCTCATAAATTGCACGGAAATCATGGGTTTAAATCAGGTGTCAAGGAGGCAACATATCGCCTCCTCAACACCTGTTAAACATACTCTAATCGCTTTGCAGAGGAGCAGCGGTGCCTGCTGTACTTGTGAATGAGCCCTTAGCTGCATCCGGCAGTGGCACTCATAGGGCTCGTTCACATGTAAAGTTGGTGGGTGGTAAAACCCTGTGGTTGACTTTGTTCTGCTGCCCCAATCCCTAACCCCCTAAGCTCCTGAGGCAGCAAAGGTTTACACATGCCACAGTTAGAATCGCATCCCCTCCACAGCAGGAACTACATCCCCTGTTGCTTTTGGGGTGTACTACCACCTGTCACTTGAGACCAATTCAAGTAAATGGGGCCATTTTACCCATTTGCCCTGTAACTGCATGCTTCTGCAGGGTCCAAGGAATTCAAGCAGTTGGTGAGAAAGCAACAGTTGCCTGTTTAACTCTTTGTTTGCTGTGCAGCACAAGGTTGCAGGGCACTCACAGAGCGGCCTCATTCACTTGAATGGCACACTGCGCCCTAAGGACCAGGTCTTTTGGCTAATCCAGGCAATTTTGCTACACGGGCCTCAGGCCTGTCATGCTTGGCAGGTGCTACACCCACCAACCATGACAGGGTGTTGGAGCAGCACTGCAGAGAAGACATTGGCTTATGAGGCTCTTGCTCCCTACTACAGCTCCAACTTTACAAGTAGTCCTTCTGCATTGCATTCTGTTTGATGCTCTGGTATGGCAGGTCAGCAAGTCCAGACCGTTATCTACCAGTCACCTGGCTGACATCTGCTAGATCACAATCTACTGGTCGCTGACCCCCAGTTTAAAGTGTTCACCTTTTCACAAAAAAAGTCTTTCTGCTCCAAAGGTGGCCAGCTGAAATGACAGACAAACAAGAAAAAAAAAAAAAAGACCGACCTTGTGTGTTATCTCAAAAATATGAAGGCTTAATAAAAGTCAATTTTGAACTCCCCTTGGAGTGGAGAAAATTGTACTTCTCATCAAATTTTCATCAGGATAACAGCTCTTTACTCCTGTGAGCTGTTATCCTGATGTAAGTTTGATGATGAACACAATTTTCTCAATTCCATTGTGAGTGCAAAATGGACTTTTTATTATGTCTTCATTTTTTTAAGATGACACACAAGGTTGCTGTGCCCTTTGTTCCCTTTTTTATTAACATATCATTGCATAAAAAAGTGCACTAATGTGCATGCAAAGTGTGACTGACCCTCTTTTTTTTTATATCCAGAAACAGAGTAGATGATGTCAGTTGCATATCTAATTGTGATGTTAAATTCAAAGAAAATTCCTGAAACCATTCCAGAGACTTGCCTAAAATAGTAAAGATATCCTCAATGTATCTGGCTAAGCTTGCAGGGTGAGGTTTGCAAAAGGTTGCCAGGTCAGATGGAAAAATCTTAGCTCCCAGAGCAATCCCTTTGGTGTCGTAAAGAAAAATGAAAATATTTACAAAGTAATCCAATTCTGTAAGGTTCAAAGTGAACTTTGACTGGACTATGGGCCATAGTTTGAGGCCCCGCTCACATCCCAAATCGTATGGCAATTGCCATAATCTTTCAATGCACCCCAAACATGATGCGATTTCTACCAATTGTGCAACAGGATTGAGTGGCAAACACGGCAAACTGCGCCTTTACACATTATGTGAAGCTTATCGCCTGAAAAGGAGCAGGAGCTTCTTTGTGGGTGACAAATGCACATAGGGCAGCCCATGTGACATCCAGAAATGCATGAAAATCACATGTCAAAATTACGTAGCGTGAACTCTGGTTCTCACTATGCGATAATGTGAACGAGGCCTTAGTGCTTTACTAACTCAGCAATTCCTTACATACTGTTCAGCCACTATAAAATATTTGTACAAACTTATAGTGTGCAATGATCCTTGAGATGCATTCGCCATGTTTTCACAAGATAAAACCTGTCTCCTCTCTTCCTATGTATGTATTGGCTACCTAACCAAGTTGCTTACCTGCTGTCCACCCATTATATATTTTTGGCTATGGTTTCTCAGATGACAAACTCTAATATTTCTTTCTAGATAAAATCTGGTTCATCTCTCCCTCTTTATTTGCTACCTAACCAAGCTGCTTACATATTTTCAAGCCTCTGTAAAATATTTGTACAAAGATATAGTGTGCGAAAACTTCTGAGATGCATATGCTATACTTTCACAGTTCTAGCACCTGTCTTATCTCTGCCTCTGTATTGGCTACCTTGCCAAACTGCTTATATACTGTCCATCCACTCTAAAATATTTGTGGCTGTTGTTTCTCTGCTGATAAACTCAAATATTTAATGCAGGAGTAAACCTGCCTTGTCTCTCTATCATTATCTGCTACCTAACTAAACTGCTTACATTGTTTAGTGTTTATTCACTTTAAAGGCTACGTTCACCAAAAATTAATGAATACACACATTTTGCAGGAAAAAAATGTGCATTTCCTATTTTTTCAGTGGAGCCTTCAGAGCATTGTGCCCATGATCAATAGATCACGGGTGAAGTGTTGGGGTCCTGCAGACACTGCCTCCATCTTTCATGCCTTTACCTCCAAACGGACTGTCAGCTTAAAAGCTGGAGGAAGTGTCCTTGAACTGTGAGGGTTTTCTTTAGTGCCCCCGTAGTTCGTAGAGAATTACAAGCCATCCGCCACAGTGGCAGACAGGACTTGTAGTTTATTCATTCAGATTCCTGTGAATGAATGACAGGGCTGTGTGTGTGAAACCCCACACAGCCGTGCCAGTTTTGACATGTGACAGCAGGTGTGGGAATAGCAACTCCCACCTGCTGTCACAGGGGTGGACTGGGTGGATAAGAGCTGGAGTAGGTTACATGTTACACCCTAAATATGAATGTAATGTGTAACGTGCTCCAAAAGGTGAACTTAGCCTTTAAAATATTTCTGCAAGGATATAGATATATTTGAGATGCATTTGCCATGCTTTCATTGACTGATATTGGGGGGGGGGGGGGTGAATCGCAGCACCAGCTAATCTTAAAGTCTTGGAACACCATCTCATTCAACCTGTCTTCGTATGAGCCTAGTGCATAAAGGACACACTCCTTGGGGGCGTATCAAGCTGCTCTGGGATCACAAGACAACGCTGCAGGGAATGGCATCACATCATTACGTGGTTCCATTCTTTGCAGCATTTATGAACCACCAAACGCTGGAGAAGGAAGTGAACCTGTGATGTCACATGACTGAAGAAGAAAGGGGAAAAGATCAAGATGGCAGGGGGTGCTCCTAGGGGAGCGGCTATGCTTTTAAAGCTGAACTCTGGGAAGACTAAAAAAGTAAAATGGTGTGTTTTTAAGCCTTATATGCTTTACATTGGCACATTTCCCTAC